CTCTGAGAATAATATGTACATTACAGGGTTTCTTCGCAAGCTTTGAAGTAATTTATTTTCAAACCATGAGGCAAAGCCTTAATGTTCCCCTTCATTGCTGGACATAGACTAGTCTCTAAATCCAGGACTGGTAGGCTGGTAGACGCTGCTGAAGTCCTTGTGTCCACTGTAATAATAAGTTAGGGTTAGTGCCATGATCAGTGCCATAGTTTGTGTGGCCTATGAATTTCTTCACCTTTTGGAGTCTTTGCATATTTTTCAAAGACTCCTGATGGTGAAATCACTGCTTGGGATACAGTGGCCCAGGAGTGCAGTAGTGGTAAGTAATACTTACCTGACGCTGTCCCCTGGAGCTTCATCCACCAGAAGTCATATCAGTGCTTTACTCTAGCACATGCATGAGAGTTCAACACTGATGTCTACTGAGAATCTTGTATTACGATGAGTGAGCTAGCAGTGGCTATGGGAAGTGATGAAACTTGGTGGAAGCTCTGCCTTTTTCCAAGTTAGGGATTTACCATAACTTGGCAAAAGTAGGCTTGGGTATTCATTTTCAGATGAAAACTTTTTCAACATAAGTAGACTTGGGCATTCATTTTCAGATGAGAACTTTTTCAACTGAATTTTCGGCAATTCGTCCATTTGTCCAATAGATGAATGGATCAATGCAAATTCCTACTAATGAAAGGAAGAACAAATTGCATCTTGGATGAAATTGTGTCCACGAAATTTGTTCTTTAGGTTACATAGTTACATAGCTGAAAAGAGACATGTGTTCATCAAGCCTTTCTCACATCTGTTTTTGCTGTTGATCCAAAAGAAGGCAAAAAAAACCCAGTGTGAAGCACTTCAATTTTTGCATCAAACTAGGAAATACATTCCTTGTCGACCCCAGAATGACAGTCAAATCTCTTCTTATTATGCTTTCGCAAGTATTCATCCAGTTGCTTTTTAACATCTGTACGGACTCTGATAAAGCCACCTCTTCAGGCAGAGAATTCCACATCCTTATTATTCTTACTGTAAAAAAAACCCTGTCCTTTGCCTTAGACTAAATCTCCTTTTTTCAAGCCTACATGAATTACATGGTGTCCTGGTTTTAGTTAGTTACTAGAAGTGTGGTATACCTTTCCTCACCCTAATGCATGCCCCCAAACTGCCCCAATTTAGGCGGGACAGTCATGATTTTGGAGATTTTCCCCGCCAACCCACTGAAACAGCTACCTGTCCCACTTTTCCCTGCATCATATAAATCACTCAGTGTGTATCTACAGAACAGCGAGCAGACAGTTGCGCGCTCACTGTCATAAAAAAGACTATTGCTTCCCAGTAACTTATAAAATAATATTGGCCTGGCACTGATCCCCCATGACCCCATGGTTGTGCACCTAATAAAATTAATAAAGTAGGGGGAGAAATAGTGTCCACTCATGTCCCCATCAATGCTCCATGTTTGTGAGATATTAAAATGAATGTGGGGACCTAGTGTTACCCTCCATCCCTCACTTGTGGCCAGTAGGTGGGTCTATTAAATAAAAAGAATGGGGGGATATAATATCCCCCCATCACCCACCCATTGGAAGTGGGTGGGTACTCTAAACAATAAATGGGTGGTGGACCTTTTGTCCCACCCAAACCTCATTCATTGGTGGTGGGTAGAGGTTCTAAATAATAATGGGTTATACTCTATTGTCCACCCCAGTCTCCACCCATTGGCACCAGTGTGGGCTAATTATCTAAAGACAGTCCATAGGTACATTAACATTTTAAAAGGCAGGAAAAGTGTACAGCACAATCAGTGTTATGATATGTGTTTATGATTATGCATTAGTAACATTGGTTCATTGCATTCATTCATTTTTCCAGTTTTGCAAAATTGACCTTTAATTTGAAATTCACTTTGACTTCCCACTTTAGTAAATAACCCTGACATACGCTTTCCCCCCCTATTCATTTGCCAGCAATGGCAACTGGAGTATGGTTTGAAACTAAAACCACTAAAACACCAGGAAAAATCTCATCTCACACTGTGGCCGTTTACAAATCCTTTACCCCTGCAGGACATTAAACATACTTATCATAATCTGGCAGGCTGGTCAGTAAGTCCCATATAGTGCACGCCATGGACAAACCCGCACAATGCTGGCCCATCAAGAGCCTTTTTAAAAATCCTGCCTCCAGCCTCGCTTCGGCCAAAAGACATTCCAAGACGTTTACTGCTCTTTTTATTCCTCGTTTCTAAGCATTGTTTCTTCATAGTAGAAAATTGATCATTGAACTGCAAAGTCCAGAAACATCTACTGTTAGACAGTGCCTTTCCTTACACACTAGTTTAGCGAGAGGTTTCTGCTTTCTTTTTTTTTTTTTATTATTCAAGGTTTTTATTGGTGACATATAATAAGCAGTAAACATTGATACAATTGTATACATAGCAGGTCATATAGCATCGCTGGGCAAGCCAGTAAAGTATACAGTTTTTGTTGCAGGATACGGATGTACGGATGTACATAGTAGGTCGTACAGTAGGTATTTTCAGCTACATAGTGCATTTCCTTAGTGCAGGTAACTTGCGGGGTGGGGTAGGTAATAAGAGGCAGCCACTTGTCTTGGCTTCAGTGGCTTCTGTGTTGTTGGCGGCATGTTGGTCAAGTTATATGTCTTGGCAAGCCGAGCACGGCGTTAGGAGGTGGGTGGAGGAGGTTTGTGGACAGCAGGGAGACACAGTCTTGGGTTCCCTTTTAGGTAGGTCTGTTTGAGGTTCGTTGTGTGGGGGTGGGGGGCAGTTGTCGGTAGGTAGGTGCGTTTTGAGGTCGAAGGGTCCGTCAGTTAGTTTTGTCCTGTGTGTGTGGTTGCCACGGGTGTCTCTTCGGTTATACTCCCTTTCCTCTGGTGTCCTTAAGTTTTGATTGTTTGGGTCTTGCGGGTCGGTGCGTTGTCCCGTGAGGGTGTCTCCACCAGTCTGTCTACACCAGTTTTGTGCTCAGGTTAGTGTCAGGGGCGTTTCAATCAGGAAGATAACGCTCCGGATCGTGAGCGTTATCTTCCTGATTGTCAGTTGATGGTATCTGAAGCATAGTAGCATAGTGTGTGGGGTATTTGGGACCAGTGTTCCCAGGGGCGCAATCGAGCCTCGGTTGTAGACGTCCTTCAGTCTGCAGGGGGTCGGTAGGCCCCGTGCAGCCGTGTAACGGGGGTCTGATGCTGGGGTAAATTTCAAGTTGTGTGATATGGGGCATAATGGTGAGAGCTCCGGGGCTATGTCTGTATGGGTCCCCAGTCTCCTATGGCTATGTCTGTATGGGTCATTGTAGCATTTAGGGTTGGGTGTTTTCTTGGTAGTTCCCCAGCCATGGTTTTCGGCAACCAGGGGAGCAGCGTCAGGGGTATCTGTGAGAAGCTGGCCTCTATGGAGATCCATAGTTTGTCTTTCCGGTTGTGTGTCCATTCGATCAATTGCTGGAGGTGTACAGCATGTCTGTATTTTGTCATATCGGGTAGTCCCAGGCCTCCTTGTTGTTTGGGTCTGGTGAGGGTGGCGAAGTTTAGTCTCACCTTTTTGCAGGCCCAGACGTAGTCCGTCAGTGTTTTGCAGGTTTGTGACAGGAAGGTTTTGGGGATATGAATTGGTAGGGTTTGTAGGAGGTAGAGGATTCGCGGGAGTATATTCATTTTGAGGACACTGATCCTCTCTAGCGACGTAATGTGCGGAAGCTGCTACAAGTCGAGGTCCTTCTGTATCCGTTCGAGGAGGGGTGGGAAGTTGATGCGGTAGAGGTTCGACAGGTCAGCCGACAACCAGATCCCTAGGTATTTGATAATTTCTTTGCACCAGTGGAAGGGGAACTCTGTTTGCAGCACTGTTGCCAGTGCTAGGGGGCTGTTTACGTTGAGAATTTCAGATTTTGTGTAGTTTATTTTCAGGTTGGATAGGATACCATATACGTCAAATTGGTGCGTGAGCTCTCTGAGGGAGGTTGCTGGGTTGGTGATTGTGAACAGGAGGTCGCCCGCATAAGGGGAGACCTTGCTGGCTCCCCAGCTGCCCCCGATTCCTGTTATGTGGGATTGGGCTCATATTGCATTGAGTAACGGCTTCAGGCTGATGACAAAAAGTAGAGACGATAGGGGGCACCCCTGTCTGGTGCCGTTCTTGATCTCAAATGGGTCAGAGAGAATCCCATTGACCTGCACTCGGGCTGCTGGATCGGTGTATAGGGCCAATATTCGTGCCATCATGTGTGGTCCCATCCCCAGGCGTTTCAGGGTGGACCTCAAGAAGGACCAGTCGACCCTTTCAAACGCCTTCTCCGCATCAATCGAGACCAACAGGGCGGGGGAGGGTCTCCTCCAGACCACTTGGAGAAGATTGAGTGCATTGATTGTGTTGTCTCTGGCCTCCCGGCCCTCCACAAAGCCCACCTGGTCAGGGTGGGTGAGGTTCGGCAGTAGGCGCTGGAGGCGCAGGGCTAGTATATTGCCAAACAGTTTGAGGTCGGCGTTCAACAGGGAAATCGGTCTGTAGCTGGCGCATGAGGTGGGATCCTTTCCCTCGTTTGGGATTACTACGACGTGTGCTAAGAGCATGTTAGGGTCCAGTGAGCCTCTGCAGTGTGTGGAGTTAAATAGTGTAAGTAGGTTTGGGGCGAAGTTATCTGCGAACATTTTGTAGTACTTTGCCGTGTATCCATCTGGTACGGGGCTCTTTCCTTATTTGACCAGTTTAATGGCAAGGCGTATCTCCACTGCAGGGATATCTTCTTCTAGTGCGGATATATCCTTGGGATGTCATCGTGGTAGTGATATTCTGTTCGATGTATGTTTTTTGCCTGAACGCCTCCTCTCCTTCGTATGCACATGTAGTGTTCGGGGGTAGGCAGTATAGTGAGGAGTAGGATTGCCGGAAGCCCTCTGCTATAGCCTTCGGGGTCTTTTGAACCTGACTCTTCTGTCTCCGAGCCCTCAGTGCCCTAGCGAGTAATTTACCACTTTTGTTTCCGTATTCATAGGATGTTGTATGTATTTTGTATTTTTGACTTTAAGCAGGACTTGAGTTTCGCTCTGGCCTCTAGGAGTTGTTTGTAGGTTTCATCACGGAGGTCTTGTTTGTGGAGCATTTCCAGATGAGCCAGTTGAGTGGAGAGGTGTGCAATTTCTTGTGCTCGCTGTTTTTTCAGGCCGGTACCGTGTTTGATGAGAATCCCTCGAATAACACATTTATGCGCTTCCCAGACAGTCGTTGGTGCACTGTCTGTTGTCTTGTTGGTGAGGAAGAAGTGGTCTAGGGTGTTTTGTATTTCTGTTTGTATCAGCGGGTCCTCTAAGAGTGATTCATTAAGTTTCCATGTCCGTTGTGATCGGAAGGGCCTGGGGTTTTCGATGGTAAGTATAACTGGGGCATGGTCCGACCAGGTCATTGGGGCATTGCGAGCTGAGAGCAGTGTGTCTAGATCTCTGTGCTGGGTAAAGAAGTAGTCAATCCTTGAGTAAGATTTGTGTGGCGTTGAGTAGTAGGTGTAGTCTTTAGGCAGTCTGCGAGTTGGTGGTTTGCGAGAGGGACCTCAGTCCTCTGAGGACGTTTTCCAGGATTGTGGAGCTCCCTTTAGATGTGTCCATTCTGGGGTCAAGAGGGGCGTTGAGGTCACCTCCTACTATGACGGTTTCTTCACTGAACGCGTCCAGGTTTCACAGAGCTGAGGCTAGGAATGGTTTCTGGCCTTTGTTTGGGAGGAACAGGTTCGCGAGTGTTACTTGGAAGAAGGCAATTGATATCTTGAGTGCTCGAATTTCTCGCAGAGCTTTTTTGTGTAGAGTTTAGACCCTTCTCGTTGATTGTGTAGAGAGATTAATGCCTTCCCCCGAATGCCTGGCGGCCCTGGAGATGTGGGGGGCGGGATGTGGTGGGCCCATTGCACGGAGGTAACTCCTGTATTGAGTCAATGACGAGGCGGGGGGGAGGGTGTTAGATGTGAGAGGGGGGTAGGTGGTGGTGCAAAAAGGGGTTGAGGGGGAAGTTAGGGAGGGGGCGGGGTTGGAAGGGTAGTCAGAGTAGTGTGGTGTTTGTCGGTGTTGTTAAGTCTCTGTCAGGGTGGCGGTCCAGTGCCCGGGACCCAGACACAGTCCGGGCATCGGTGCATGGACCGGGACCCCTGAGTGCCTTATGTTCAAAGTAGGAGTCACAGTGTGGAGGTGGATTAGCAGGGTCTGGTGCAGGGTAACCGCACGCCCCCTGGTGTTGAGCACCAGCGTTTGTGCAGCCACAACCAGAACCATGAATCAGCTTATGCGGATCCCAGGAACTAGGAGCAGGTAATTAAGCAGACCTCCCAGAAGCTGAATAGGGAGGCTCTGCAACAGGGATGTATCCAGTACTGAAGCAAGGCTAGACTAGGAGAGCAAGGCACCATCCAAGAAAACAAGACCAAACTAGTAGAACAAGGAAATACAAGAGATAGGCACCATGCATGAAAACAAGACAAAACTAGGAGAGCAAGGCAAGACCAGAAATAGGCACCATACATGAAAACAAGACAAAACTAGGAGAACCCAGAACCGGAGCATGACAGAAAGCATAACCTAGAACATGCACACAAGACATGAGGAAAACAAGAACATAACAGGGGCTTGACTGGACAGGACTGTACATGGACTGGGATTACAAGACAAAGTAAAACAAGACGATATACAAGGTAAAACAAAAGGAAACATAGCTAAGCACTAATTATGAAAAGTATGGGGATTTAGTCACATTATATGATCATACATTGCACAACCCTGCCAACAACGCCAATGTACCCCATATCTGGCAGGTCCTACACTGCCTAATGTATGCTAAAACAACCACACTATACCAAAATAGCACTTACCTGCAAGAAAGGGCAGAGACATGAAACACTGCTGTAGGTCCAAGCTGAAACAAAAGGAAAGTGGAAAACAAACGGGTGTGGCAACATAAAACAAACATTTAAGTGAATCCAAGAGACTAGAAAATCCAGGGACAGAATATAAGAATGAAATCAGAAACCCAGCAATAAAGAAAACCAGACATAGACCAGAAAACCAGAAAAACCAAGCAATGACAGCAAAAAGAGTACTGGATACCAGAAGCCATTGCCAGAATGATCCGCAGCGAGGAACAGGATGTGACAGTCGCAGAGGCGACTGTTGTCAGGGGTAATGTGCCACTGGTAGGTGGGTGTCCGGGGACTGTGTCACTCATAGCCACCTCACAGTCTGTTGGCAGTAAACCCATGGGGCAGGTGGCATCGATAGTTGGGTAGGTCACCCACTGTTGGTTGTTGTTGGGTGATGTATCACTGTCTATCAGCATCCATCTCTTGATGCCCAGTAGCTGTGGGGTCTGGCACCCAGATTGGGTAGGGTCGTTCTAGTGGTTCAGTTTGCGCTCAGTATACAGGTGCATTAAGAGCGTACGTGAGAACAACATATCAAACAGGTTTACGCAGATTATGTCATCATTATCAGGGAGAACATTTGCAACTTTTATGAACATTTAGAGACATTCTGAACATGCCCGTGCAACATGGGGGGCTTATCACGTGATAGTATGAAGTGTGCACCCTGTGGTGCGCATTCACCTTACATACTTTGTTAAGCAAGGTAGGAAGAGGACAGAAAAATGGGGGGAGATGGGGGAGCCAGAAAGGGGGAGGGAAAATGGGGGGAGAGGAAGGAGGAGATAGTTTTGCTTGGATGAGGAGTGTGGGGGGTGAGTAAGAGAGGGGCAGTGAAGTCAGCAAACAATAATTAGCATAAAACAATACAATTTGTTGGAACCAGTGAATATAGGTGCTACCATCACCTTGTGTGAATCACTCAAACACACACAAATAGTGAAACAAAGCGTGAAGCTTGGGCACTCTCACCATCATTTTTGTTTAAAAAAGAATTAACATTCATCATGTGATATTCAATATTTGGTGAGTGGTGTTTCCCCGCCCTACCACCCGTGTGTCAGCGCCCTCTGGTGTATTCTTGGTGTCTGGAGTGTAGTCTCTTGTGCAGGCCTCAGAGGTGTAGGTGTTACCGGATCTGATTGGTTAGGTAGTGAGGGTGTCTTTGTTCATCCTGGATGTGTGTGGGTGTTCCCTTCTGAGTGCATTGAGCGTGTGTGTGTGTATGGTAGTGTACAGGTGTATAAGGAGTGTGAGCCCCAGTGTTATACTTGCTCTTTTGAGTCATTCTTCGGTATGTGAGGCCTTTACGAACAGTCTAGTGTAATACCGATGTGTCAGATCAAGGGATGATGCCAGCGGGCGTCCCCGTGGAGGGGTTGGGGCTTGACAGGTGGGAGCCTGTGCCCCGTACTGTAGAAGAGTGGAAGCTTGTGTGGTGCTTGCCAGAATATGGGTGTGCTAGCGAGTCCTGTGGGATTTTCTCTGTTGAGGTAGCGGTGGTCTTGGTGGTGTTGAGCAGGTAACAGGCTCAGAAGCTATAGGTATTGACCCTGGTAGTTGAAGAGGCAAGGTGATTACAGGTCTGTGGGCCGGTGAGGTGCGGGTATAGTCTAGGGGTGGGGGACATCTGGTGTGCCATGGAGGTGTCCGCACTTGGTGGATTGCCTCCGTGGTGATGGGTTTCAAATCTTTCTTGTTCCTGGTTGTCAGGGTGGAAGAAAAAAAAATGGATGTCAGGATGGGGAGCTGGCAGGCGGTGATTTCTCCATCTGTCTATTCTTCGGGGTCAGTTAGTCAGTGATGGGTATGTGGGGCGTCTCTGTTGGGCCCCTATTGGGTGGTGCGGCGCGTTGGCCTCCCTGTGAAGCGTTCATTGACCGGGCATGCAGTCCAGTCCGGAATAGGAATGCGGGAGAGGTCTAGGGCTTCCTGGAAGGCCAGTACATATTATGGCGTTCGTATTATGGCTTCCGTGGTGCCCTGTCTAGCTGAGAGGGCAAACGAGAACTGCCACCTGTAGCAAATCTGGGTTTCTTGCATGGCAGCGGAGAGGGGCCGCAAGGCTCTTCGGGTCTGCAGGGTGAGGTGGAATAGGTCATTGTAGATCTCTATTGCCTGTCTCTCAATTCTCCAGGTTCTTTCTGTGCGGGCTTTTCTCATAATTTCTTCTTTCAATTGGAAGTCTTGTATGGCAAATAAATCCCTGGGGTGGCACCCGGGGGGGGGGGGCTTGGGTCTCAGTGCCCTATGTGCCCTGTCCATGTGGATACGGGGTGGGGGACATCTGGTGTGCCATGGAGGTGTCCGCCCAGAATGCCCAGAATGCGGTTGAAAATCAGGGTCAGTGTGGCCCTGGCATCCTCTGGTGTGTCAGATTCTCTGCAGCCTCTTACCCTGATGTTATTACTGCGACTGCGGTTGTCAAGATCCTCTATGTGGAGGCGTAGATCTTGTATGTGTCTGGTGTGGGCCGCTGTAGCTTGTATTGCAAGGCAGTGTTGGGGCCCTGTGTCTCTAGGGCTGCACCCTCGTCTCCAGTGCAGCGAGTGAGGTGCCCAGGGCTGAGATCTCCGTGCACAACGTGGCTTTTACCTCATCCAGCAGGGACTGGAAGTCCTCCTTTTTCGGCAGTGAGGCAAATAATGTGTACCAGTCTGGTGTCTGTGGGGATGGCTGGCCACTCTCCGTGTGCGGGTATTCTTCCAACAACGTGGAGCTCGGGGAGGAGGGCGCCATGTTGGGGGCCTCCTCCTGGTAGAGAAAATCTCCTGGCGTGTTCAGGTAACTTCGGATGGAGGGGTGCGAGTTGTTCCCCTGTGTTCTTGGCATGGAAGGGGTCATTTGGGCTCTTTTAGTGCATCCCATGGGTGCCGGGTTGTGCTGGTTAGCTGTGTGTGGTTGCAGCCTGGAGCGGAGCTCGGGGATTAGGCAGCCATTCCCGTTCGGCGCCAAACCATGCCGGTTTCTGTTTTCTGAGTGGTTTCTGATTGGTCAAATTACATCCTTGTTAATAAAGATCTAAATAAATTAATGTTTTAAAAAAGAACAAAAAAGGTCAGTAACATCCTGGAGTTTACCATTCATGCTGCATTAAAAAAATACAAAAAGCTCAAAAATTGGTTCATGCTTATGATTGTGCTTTGACCATATCATATTACTTCAAGTCTTTTTTAAAACTCCATTATGATGCCATTAGATGTATTTAAATTTGAATGAAAATGTATCAAGACCTTATAATTATTTGAGTAGCAGTTGATAAAATATCAGGGATTTTAACAAAAGGAGCTATTGTGTTTAGTAATTTATACTGAGCGAGTCAAGCTACATTGACAAATGTGTTGACCTTTCCTTTGTGACGTCATCCGAAGCAAGTAAATTACTACCTTGTTAATTGTCTGCTTTGTTTTCTATCTATTCCTTCATGAAATTCACGATTCTCGTTTTCAGCAAAGCCTCTCCATAGATCATCATAATTAAAAAGGGTGTTTTGGTTCCTGTTCAGTAATTAAGGAGTTTCATAATGAAAATTATATCAACAGTTC